ATTTAGTTCCACAAACTAGAAAGACTACCATTATTCCATGTATTTCCAACAAGGATAAATGAATATAACCTCTTCTGGAATTGTTAAATTGTATCGTACATCAGGAGGCGCAACGCTACTCAAAGAAGCAGTTTCAATCACACTGTCGGGATGCGATAAACCAGAACGAAGCTTAGCTGGGCGATATTCAGAATAAGTCTCTGCGTAGCCCAAATTTTCTTCCTGAATTTTTTAGCTAAATGATCTATCATTAAGACCACTATCTCGCAGTAGCGAAATTAACATTTGACTTACTTAAAAACAGAATTTTTACAAAATAATGAGAAAATTTTATTGTACAAATATTAGTCCGTTAAGAGGATAGAGAACAGTCTTTTTTCTTAAAAATGAAGATGGTATCCAGTGAAAAAATGTGAATATACAATTATCACCATCATATTTTTAAAAAAACAATGCAGTAGAGACAACAGATATTACTGTATATCCATACTTTTTTACTGGAAATAATTCAGTAGTGGAGAGGGATTACATACATAGGATATTATTACTGATTGCTTTATATTGACAAACTTATTTTTCTGAAATCATAAAAAATTACTAACATCTTCATCAACATCTTGATCGTTCTGAGTGCTCCGTGATTTCAACGCTGCTTCCATTTCATTACGTACAGATGCCTTCTTATCTTTCTGTTCAAATCCTTGGTTCATTAATTTTCGTTCCTTGATATACGAACTATCAGGCACTTCAGCTTTTGATGTTGAACTATTTGCGGTTACAGATCGCTGACGTCCTTCACTAAATTTTTGGTCGTTGATTCGAACACGTCGTAAAATATCTCTCACTGGAGACGGTGGTTTAGTTAGATTCTCTTGTACACGTATATTACTAATGATATCCGGCTGTTGCTTTTCATCAACATTGTTAACAGCTGTCTCAGATGATGCTGAGCTGATATTGGCAACGGTAGCAGACAAATTATTTCTGCTTTGCTGTAAATTTGATACTGCACGACTTGGTGTTCTGATTATGGCCGGAGGACGAGTACCCTGTATTGTTACCGGTGATGTTCGACGTAATACTGCACTTCGTACAATCCTTGGCTGACCGTAAGGAACAGATACAGTATTTGGTTGCAATGGAGCTAGTGACTGGAACTGACATTCGGTTTCTAGCACATTTACTGAATCCTTCTCGATGCGAGCAGATTGTGCATTACTACAAATTTAGAAAAATTTTAGTTTTCTAATCTTCTCCAAACTGTGCTTCAACCAATCTATTATTTAAATGAGAACCAACAACAAATAGTTTGGTCAACATCTATCTCAATAGTTTAAGGAATAAATGTAATATGAAAGTGAATCTAGAATACAGTAATTGAATGCCTTATTTCTTGAAATCAAAATCTAACCGCTGTAATAATGCAGAAGAGCTAGAAGACCTCAAAAATGGACGAACTAGACTACCACGAAGAGCAAATGTCCCATTTTCTTGTCGACTTAGAAATGTACGTGTGTAAGGAAGACGTCGTGGCATAATTGCCCAGTGACGATCGCGTACATATACGACATCTGCACGGAGTAATACATAATATATGCTTTGATTCCACAAAAATAATTACGTATTTGAATTGAAATTCTAATGCGCATTACATGTATAATACCTACTGTTCTCCACACGACGTGGCATGATAATAACGCGTCGAGGTAAACTAGAAGGAGTAGTACTATTCATGGTTGATGGTTCGTCAATAATTTCAGCACCATTATCATTTTCTGGGATTTTCCGCATTTCAGATGTTGTTTTCATAGCTGGTTGTACTGTTCCAAAGTATTTCGTTACCTTTATAAATAACAATGAAAAAATAAAGCGTAAATCTGATTTTTTAAAACTCTTATGAATGTTATACTATATAAATAATAAAAAAATTTGCTCGCTTTCATTTTGTAGGTTAAAGAAACATGCAAAATTAAGCAAAAGAGTAGCAAAAACTGGAAATTGAGAAAAGCGTACATTATCTTGTTGCTGTTGTTGAATTGGTCCAGCAGTACGTCTCAGACGGAATACTTTTTCTGGATATATGCTGGCATAACCACGTTGTAAAAGAACTGTTCGTTTAATTTTGCCGTTGGTAACATCACTAGGTAACTCTGTTGATTCTCGAAGTTCCACTTGCTGTTGTTGCTGTTGGCGAGTAAGTGCTGGACAAGAATCTTCAACAGCAGTATTTGAAGAATCTTGAACATGTGAAGTTGTCAAAACTGAATTATTCCCTGGACTAGTGTGAGAACATGATGGAAGTATAGCACATGCACTTTCCACATTTTGTTTCTCACTATCTGTGCTTGACTTTTCTGGTAAAACTAATCCCGCTTGATTGTCAATACCCACTGGTGATAATGTTGAGACATTATTTGTTGCAGCATTATTTTCAGTAGTATTTTCAGGAGCAAATAAAAATTCTTCTAAACCTGCTTCACATATTGCAGCGGTAAGTAAATCATCCATCCTATAAATGAATTGAATTTAATAATTTTTTTGACACATTTCATTATCATTATTAATTTATCAATTATGTGTTACAGTGCAAGAGAAGCTAAAAATGAGACTTAATAGTGAGATATTGACAAAAATCAAACTACACGATTTCTCTGCCATTCATGTCTAATACATGCATTATTGTTCATTGAAAAAATTTATGACAATAAATGTTGTAGACCACAAAAAATTACTTGATACTTATCAGTTATAATATTTGTGATTAATCTGTTTATGCTAGCTACGCCAATATACTATCATTTCTTATGATACCTAAGCTTGATTACCAATACTTATTTTGTCCTAACAGAAAAAAGGTGGAAATTGAGCAAGCAAATGTAAGCAACTTGAAGCACTACTTAATTCTCCTCAAGTCGTCAAAACAAGTAAAACAATAGCTCACAACTTGATACAAATGCATACGTAACATAAACATACCATCCTTGCACCAACCAAACGCCTGCAATGAGGTACACACACCACAATATGCAAATTTTTGTCAAAATTTCAATTCATAAAAATCTGCTTCTGCCATTTCATTTCGTCCCTATCTGTCTGCACTCTTGCTCAAACGAACAACATCCGTTAGACAGTCACTACACATCCTACCAGTACTGCTACTCTAGCTCTAGCCTATTCCCTCTTCTATATGCATGAGTCTGACGCCAAACCATTACAAATATACCAATCATTGCTACAGAATCTGTCTATCTGTCTGTCTAAACGATTTCAGCAGCTAAAGTATGACAAATTCACATTCTTATAGATCACTGCAAGCAATCTAAGGAACTCCTTGCAATTTTATCAACTATTCATTTGGTTCAGTCTGGAATCGCGCGACGAATCATCACTTCCTCAGTGAGTAACACAAGAAATGATTGCCTAGGTCATTGTGATTATGTACAAAAAATGATTTTATAGCTTGACTCAATATCAAGGCAGTGGATATCTGATTTAATGGATACAGCAGGCAGAATCACCATCAAACATTCAAGTGTCAAGGCCTAAAAAGGATTTCTCATTTTTTATTACACCTTAATCCAGTAACTTATAGATTCAATAATGGACATGTAGAATTCCATGAATAACTTCTTCTGGTCTAAAAAGCTTTACTTATGATGCGAAAAGGAAATATATCAACAATACTTTGCTACACATGCTTTACCTCTCATAACCTTGTGACCTCTCATTGTGTCCTGTCCATCAAATGTTTTATGTAATTCATTACAGTATTTCCCCGTATATATTTACATTAGCGAAGCTAATTATATAACCTGAAATGAAGTATAACATCGTATATTCTTGTGAAAGAATGCAATTTTCAACTGAACCTATTTGCAGTCACCAAAATTATTGATGACAAACATGCATTTTCGTTGATTTTACATGCAAACATTCTACTGAAATTTATAGAGATGCAGTATGGTGCAGCGAGGTGCAGCGAATATAAACTGCAATTTGGCATACAATCAAAGAGTGATGATCGCTTCAAGAGCCAAGTAGCAAGAAAGTAGGGAAGACAAAGCCAAGAGTGAGGTAGCAAAGAACAAGCCGAGATGATACGACGTAAGGCTCGCAGAGCACTTACTGCCATTTCTTTCGCTTTTATATCAAAGTGTCGCACGCCTTTGCACCGCCCCGCTTTAACTGCATCGCTGCATTCTGGTCATTTGCCAATATATATAAATTAGTCTTATTAAACAGTTTTAACCTTGAAAATAAAATCGCTTTTACATGGCAATAATTCAGAATTTTAGGTCACGTGACCTACTCATATGCAATGGATTTCCATCAAAAAATTGCAGAACACGTAACTTAACGCATGTTGAATTGCAACGCAATACTTTTCTAAGGTGCTGCACTCTCTTCTTTCTCAACTTATCTCCTTTTTCTATTTGCTCTCTTCTCTCTTCACTATCAATTGTGTATTAGTATCTTTTCCAAGTATCTATTCATTTATCATTCTCTATTCATACTTGTCTACATGTCTGTCTCTCTATATTAATTGTACTCATACTAAAGCTGTATTGCAGTTTCTCTCTCTCTCATTGCTTTTTAGTATCAATTTTTCAGTCTTACTAAAGCCCAGTGTTATTTCTTTTTGTAAGGGTCAAAGGTTACTCGCATGAGTTTTTTATTCCACAGATGTCTTTTTGCAATCTTTTCGCACTTGAAATGTAAAACTTTTAGCGTGTTTTTTTTAGGGGATTAGTGGTGAAAATGAAAAACTCACTGTGTGACCTGATGGAATGAGTTGAAATTGTAACTTCGAAGTGCAGTAAGGCTGAATTGTAACTTTAGGAATTATTGAGTTGCGATTTTGTATAATATTTAGTTGAATTGTTATTAGAATTAAACAGAAAGTAGAATTTTCACATATTAGAAAGGTTTATTTAGCGTTTGGCAGATACGTAAGTGAAATAATTTTTAATTACATGACCGATTAGTGGAAGGAAAATATCCTTGGCTAGCCCTTGCTAATAATTCAAAATTTTGCAATAGCTTTTTTAATATAAAAATTATATGCACGTTGTACGTATTAATCTTATTAACAACGCAGCAGCCTTTATATCTCTTCATGTCAGCGACTGTTGTTGTAATTTATCAATTTTTCATCATCTTCATGTTTTTGATTATGACTGCTATCACTTGTCTTTGTATTTCACATATTGATTGCATCAGTCACTAATTATTTTGAAACAGTAATAAACGATTATTGAATGGATTTTTTTGAATTTGATCATTAATGCATGATAGATAATGTGGCAGAAAAATATCATAATGGTCGCTATCACACTATTTGATCATCGAAAAGAAGAATAAGTGACTAATGATGTCCTTGAAAATATATTTTTTCGATGAAAACAATCCCCCCTATTTACTCCTTGACCTTTCGCAGCACAAATAGTAAATGGTATTTGTGTAATGAGAATATTGATTGGAATCTGAGGGTAATTTTGCACATATATAGTCGATTGGTTTGAAATTGGCCATAATGTAGTAGTAAATTATTGGCCCACATGTTATGTTACAACCCTTTATGAACAAAGATTTTGCTTTTTTATTATTTTAGTATTCAGAAGTGGATTAGCAAAATGTCAGCAGACTTTTTATACTCTTTTGTCTTTTTGTTTGCAATAACCAGAAATATTATTTTGATTATATTAATATGAAAAGAAAACACTTCTACTGATTGTTGTTTGATGAACAGTTGTTGTTGTTATTGTTATGTAACCGAGAATCTGCATGATATTAATTATGCATGTTGTTTTCGTTTTTAATGAATTTGTAAGGAAGAACTTTTTCTTCTGTTTCATTACTTACCATCTGAATACTTGTTAAATGATTAATTTGAATTTTTCATCATTTAAATGAAAAAACAGTTTTAAATTTTATTACGAAAACTAATTACAATGGCTTGAGTAACAGTAGTGATAATATTATCATTGACGATAATGTATTACTAATTGATAATAGTGATATTTCCACAGGAAGCAGAAGTGTGATAACGACATTGATCTGCTAAGATGATTACTGCTATCAGAATCAGACATCGTTGAGAAATATTTTTCGTTCTTCAGTCTGAGAGAGTAGTTAATGTTAGTTTTATCAAGATTTATTCTTTCGACTGCTGATTTTTAGCTGATATTTAGCAGAAGAAGAATCAAAATCAAAAAAGTCCATCCACCTAGCCTATTTTTGAGACAATTAAATAACCAATTTTTTGCATAAATTGAGGTCTGAGAATTTATTAGCAAATAGTTCACTTTCGCCATGTCAGTATTTACTGACTATCACTGCTAAATAATCAAAGAGAATTTGAATTGTTAATGAGTTATTTTCTTCTAAATTTTATGCTCAAAATTGCCATGAATATGCAAATTCATTTGTAGTTCTTTTGTCGTAAATGGATGTTGGGTCGGAAATGCCGAAATGATCTCATAGTGTTGAGTGTTTGTTTGCTTGCATGAATGTTGAATGATAATAAACTCAACAGTATTATGAGTCATACCGTGTATATGAAGTTTGAGCAGTACTGTATTTACTACATTATTGTTATGGAATAAAAGTCTAAATGTGAAACAGATGATAGATTCAATCAAATTATTGATTTGATAAATTAAAAGTAGATTAGCAATTGGAATTGTTTATACATAAAATAATGCATTATTCTAAAATAAAACATTTTTCTGCTAACCATTCAATTTCGTCTTTTATTTTTCAACGAAATTTGAAAATCAAAATGTCTAAGCTTGCTTCTTTCTTTTTTGTGCACACACTTCTCGTCATACATGGAATAACGACATGACGGCCATCCTCCACACTGCATTTTCTTGAAACGGTCAAGGACTTTTCCTGATCATCCGTGGAACCAAGGTTCCACGGATGAATACTTTGATCGCAATCATTCTGCTGCTTTCTAGTTCCGACACACTGGTGGATTGCTCTCTCGCATCTCTCACAAAGCTTTTTTCATCTGTTTTTCCATTGAGTTGAAATGCCGTCTTTCCCTTTTCTCATCCTCTATTTCCTTATCAAACCTTTCATATCTTGGCTGCAAATCAATACTGCATTCTTCTGCTTGGTATTTTCATCTGTTTGAGCAATAGTCTTTTCTTCCTCTTCGCCAATCTCATGCCCATCTGCCTTCTTTACTTTGTTCTTTTGTTTGGTTGCATTCCTTGTGAAGTACTACAGTAAGGGGTTGCACAAGTATTACTGTGATAATCTAATATTTCTTCTCGCTTTTTGTCAGTCGCCTGTGAAGTGTAAAGTCAAATATGAGTTCTGAGCTAATAGATAACTGATCTCATTGATTACTGGAACTTTCTATCGTGTTGTACACCATTTCTATCTCTCTGGCGTTTTAACTGCTCAATATATTTCTGAGTAAAAAATATTTTTGAATCACAAATATGCAGGTATTAGTGTGAGGAAAGATCTCACTGTTCTTTGTTAAATGCAAGCAAAATTGTTGAAGTATTTCAAGCGCATATACAAACAGCATAAATTCTTCTTGAATGCGAGATAATTCAAACAATTTATACACAAAAAAACAATATTTTCTATATGAAAATTGCAGCAAATATAAAATCTTCATATTTATATAATACTAGAATTTAGTATAAAGCGTGTAAGAAGTTTGCCTTAAATTTTTGAGTATGAAAGGAATTTGTGTGATTCAGTGACTTACAAAGAACTAGAAACATATTCCTGACCACAAAAAAAATACATGCATATTCTTGACTAAATGTAAATTGTGATCAGAAACTGCTGTTTCTGTTTCACATTTATTGCATATTTAAATATTAATGTTTACGTGTTACGTGACAAATTTCATAAATTTCATCCCAAAACATGAAATGGAGAGTACTGATTTCACAGTTAACATTTTTTTTAAAATCATTCTGACACTGCATTTATTGCAATGTCTTGTTAGTCTAAAGTGGGTTTTTATGGGATGACTTGAATATAATATGGCCCTTTTTTTAAATTTATATATCACTAGTTATAATTTGTATTAGCAAAAATATATATTAAATGCACATTTCCACTGTTTCGTATCAGGCTATCAATCTAATTCATAATTCAAAATCACTTACAACAAGAAAGGATATACGTGCATAATTAAGCAAATTTGAATCACTGCTCATATAGCATGCTAAGAATCTAATTAGAGCAAGTATCGAAAATTACGTCAATATTCTAAAGTCATGTATTGACTATTATTATAATTATGCCAGAAAAAAGTAAACAGTTTTGCATTTATAAATTAAAATGTGTAAAAGTTCGGAAATTCATAATTTTATTGTACAAATCATATACATTTATAGCTATTAATCTTCGAAATATGATAAATTAATGTAACGAAAATTTGTTGTTGACAAAATTTCGCTGTTTATGATTTGCGTTGTAAGTTCAATTTACCTCATGTTTTCTTCATTTCTTACTTTTCCGTAGACATAACAAGACATGTATATGAATTCATTTTTTGGAATATTACTATTAGTTATAACGATGATAGTACTTGTAACAGTAATTATGACATTAATAATGATAACGTCGATAATATTATTATTAATAAGGATAGAAATAGCAATGTAATTGTTATCATTTTTAAGTACTATTATTTTACTATTATTATTTTCGATTAACAAATTTCAAAAGCGTTGTCTGTTAATTCGTTTTAAGTATTTATAATTATGATATTATTGCAGCGCATAATGTCATCGACTTGACTAACAATTACTCATCATTACGTGAATCACGTACTTGTATTAAATACACATGAATACATAATATTCACCATCACTATAAATAACCCACCACGTGAAACGTTTAGAAATGGTTACTATAAGACTCACTTACGGTACTGATGAAAATCGTCAAACAATACTGCTGCATCGGTCAGTTTTCTCCTAATTTTTTCTCTTTTGGCGCTTGATTTTAAATTTATGCTACGTTCATTGCTATGTGACTAATAATAATCTTATAAAATTATTTTATACTGATTAAGATATTTAACCAAAATTCAACATATTTTGAATATTATGAACAGATTGAAGCAGGTTTTTAAACGAGTAAAATTTTGAATTGTTAGACTTAGCTATTATTTGATTAGCGTTAGGAACCAAATATTTTACTAATTTTTATTTGATTTAATACTCTTATTTAATTTCAGAATTCGACTTTTATTTCATCGTTGAATTGGCTAAGGGAAAATTTCCCAATTCAAATTAAGCAAAATACCGTATTCATAGTTAATTCATCAGTTATACTTGTAGTCCTGTTCATATTTGGTATTTTATATATCAAGATAATAAGTTTTTGATTATATCTGATATCTTAAAATTTAGACATTAATAGCTATATAATTTATGCTTCACGCGAAAATATTTAGATCATTTTTGATCTTTACCATTTTTACAAATGAAGTTTTGGTTAGCTTACATATGACAGTTTCATGTAAGTGTAAACAGTTATACCATAATTGGTGTTATGATAAAAAAGCGATTATTTGATGGAAATTATTGCAAATTTGTATTTATTGATCGAACAAACATATAGTTATGCTTTTGGTTGTAGGAAAACAATTGGAAGAAGCTTGTTGATAATAATTAATACAATTAGCAATAGTTGTTTTTGTTTAATTAATCGAATATTTTAAATGTGTTGGAATTTTACAATTGCTGTGTTTTGTAGTCATTGATATGTAGCAAATTTTTATGAAACAGTTGTTTTTTTTTTTTGTTTTTGCATTAATTACGGTCATTCTTTTTCAGTGCTGTTAGTTGTGAATAAATTTTCAGAGGTCTATCACCTTCAGCTTTGTCAAATCGAATGCTAGACAATATTGTTAATCGCAAAACTGGTGGACGTCGAAGAAATCGGAAAAAAACACCCAAGTATGCATAATTTATTACTCAAAATTAATGTCCTTAGGCAGTCAGTACTTACTTTATATTTTGTAGTTGTACAAAAAATTACCTATATCCTTCATTTCTACGTCACTGTTGTATCTTCCTGTCGTTTATAACATTCAACGGATAAGAAATACTTTGAATTCTTTTCCTTACAGGAATGAAAAGTAGTAAGGAAGTAATAAAAAATTCTTTTGCCGATTTCTGATGTCAACACATTATGTTTAGATTTGATGCTATATAATCACAACAATTCAAATAATATTATGCTGAATTTTTTTCACAGGAAAGACAAAAATACTGAAAATGCGACGAACAAAGAAAAAAATAATTCTGATCACAAAATTACAGAATTTTTTCCTCTGCGTCGGAGCAATCGAAAGACTGAGAAGCAGCTTGAGGTAACTTCACTAAAGTTTAGATTTCGTAATTTTTTAATCTGAGCATTTATGGATGCTTTTAGGTAGAATTTTTTTTAAGCTACAGAAAATTTTGTTGAAACAAATACAACCCGAGTGATATTATGCTCAATTTGATTTGTTGTGATATTTTACCAGTTATGTTTCTGAGCTTTATTAGATATATATTAAATATTGTTTGACTGCGCATAGTAAGCAACAAAGCTTACTAAAAAATTGTTTTGTAGGAAGAAGAACGTAATGCAATGGAAAGTGCCATCTTGACAGGTGGTAACGAAAAGTTTCTTGAAATCTTCGAATGCGAGAAAAAAGGTCGTGGGATTCGTACTCTGCGAAGTTTTCAGAAAAATGAATTTGTTGTAGAATATAAGGGTATGTTAACATTATTTTCTCAACGTTTCTAATTTAATTATTATATGTATTGTTTACAACATACAATTTATGTAATAAAAATTGTGAAAGTGATACAATATTAATATTATGTATTCTTGGAAAATGATATAACTTTTAACGGATAAAAATTTTTGATGTATTAGCTGATATATGGTTGAAGGGGAAATAATTGATCTGAGATTGGCGAGAATCCGTGAACGGGAATATGCCAAAGATGATAATATTGGTTCATTTATGTATTTCTTTAAATATCAAAATAAGCAGTTTTGTGTTGATGCTACTGATGAAACGCCTTACAAAGGTCGTCTAATAAATCATTCGGTCCTTAGGCCAAATCTGAAAACAAAGGTATATAAATTTGTAACCTTCTTATTCTTAAACTTGGAATCAAATCAGTGCAAAATTTTTATTTTTTTTATTTTACATGTTTTGTTTTCATGTTTAGTGATTTCAGCAGCTAGCTGCACATATTCGATAAAAACATTTTATTCGAACTTTATCAAAATTTATACGGCATTTGAGCGTATTCATGTGTTTTTACAGATTTTCTTGGAAGACTACATCATTATTATTTGAAATATTAGAAATTTTGAAAATCTCACTTTTTTACGATTAAAAATTATTAATTTATAAAAATTAATTAGAACATTTTGATACATTTTGAATTTGAATCACCGGCAAATATAATTCTCAGCTTTGTACTTCAAAAACATAAAGGATTATGTTTTTATAATATGTAGGTTATCGAACTGAAGGGATTAAAACATTTAATATTAATCGCCAAACGAGATATTGAAATCGGTGAAGAATTACTTTACGATTATGGGGACCGAACACCTTGTACTGTTGCAGAAAATCCGTGGCTTTTAAATTCGTGATATACTACTGTATTTTGTTCTGAAATTGTTGATACGTTTAGAGTGATTTAAATACTTATCAAAAGTTGAGGTTGGATCGGTTTCACTTGTAAATTGTGGATATGAACTTAGTTTTAAAAACATTGTACATTATTTAAATTTATCAAATTTTCAAAAATGGTTTTCAGCGCTTATCTTTATTCACACAATTGTCCTAAATGAAGTTGAATAGATCTCAAACTGATCCGCGTGAGGAAAGTAAGCAATGTTATTGCAATAATTGTGATCTCATCGTTCCTCATACATTTCTTAAAGTTGTAATTAACGATATGCTTGTTGAATTACTTTACTTTCAACACAAATTACAGAATATGGCTTGGACACTTCAAATTCTTTTTCACTTCTACTCTTTGTATATCGCATTATTATTTATATATTATTTCAATAAGAAAGCAGTTCAGGAAGCAATTAGCTCACCGTTTTGCTCAAATTGTCGCATGTTTATATGTTGATATTCTTTTATTATTGAAAAATGGTTCATGGCTTTGGCTACTAAAGCCGTTAACTTCATTTTCTTATAAGTAACTTTACATTTTAATAATAGAAAATGAACTAACGTAGTATAATATCATTTATTGCATAAAAAGAAAAGCAGAAATATATTCAATCTTTTCAATTAATTCTGAATTTTAGATCTGTGTTAGTGCTATAAAGCCAAAGCTAATTCCTTTCTTTCAGTTGCTGATCTCATAATTTTTTCTTCATAAATATTTGATAGTATTATTGCACTTTCTAAGTGGTATTTATTGTGATTCTCAGTAAGTCATCAATGACTGATTTCAAATTTGTTGTTTTAGATTTCTATTAAATGTCAGATATACAAGCAAGCGAAGAGTATTTTCAACTGCTATTTCTTATAATTGTTTACATTATGTTAGATTGTTTCGTTTAGAATTTCAAAAATTACTTTGCATATTTTGTACAGTTTCATAAACTGCTTATTTCAAATACAACTGTTTTGGTTGGTACTACAAAGTTACAAAAAATTAAAGACTGATTTTTGCAAAATTACTGGGTCTTCTAAAATTTATATTTACAGTTTAAAAACTGTTATTTACTTGATATTTTGATTTTTCTTTCATTAGGTTTGTTTCGCTGTACTTGTTTCTATACATTGTTGGTTATTTGTTGCAGCGGAATAAATGTTAGCAGACAGCTTATCTCTTTTGCGTTATCAAAGCGTCACTTATAAATTATCACTGGGATATTTATTGACTAGATGTTCAGGTTGTAATATTGTGATGCTCAACTTTTATTCTCATTATTATAGCAACAAAAGTAGAATTTATTAGAGGCGTATTTTACTGTTATTGTTGTAATCTGTAGATACATTTGGTTTCTATATGGAAAATCTTGAAAGCATTTACATCCATTGTCACACGTATGACGTAGGGTATGCATCCGTGGGAAGCTTCAAGTTGATTTGTGATTAAATTTTGCATTTATTTCTACAAAATTTTTTACTATGAAAAGCCTGAATATAATGTAGTAGACTGTATGAACAATTTCAAGCAGTTTTTATAATCTGCTTCAATTTTTTTAGTGATAATTACTGATTAGTGCATACTATTGATTACGGTAATTTGGGAGTAGTTCATAAAAATAGCTCATCATCATGGTTTAATTATAATAATTGTCCACTTTTTATTTATATTTTTATAGATTAAGTACTGCTAAAGCTCTAATTGGTAAGGTAACATTTACTCATTTATTTTCACATTTGGCTAATTTTTTTGCAGATGTTTTTCATTTCCGAGGAAGATTGGGATGGTAGTATTGATTAAATATACTTTTTACGTGTATGGTCAGTTCAATTCTTTACGTAGCTGTTGTAGGCTTTCATCACAAACGAGGTTGTCAGGTATGTAAAAAAATTACGGAAAAGCAAACAAAAATTATTGTGAATTAGCAGCAGATTTCACAATTTTTCTTAATTTTTTTTAAATTTTAATCTTTCAGCAATATTTTGCATTGAAATTCTAACAATTTTTAGGTTGAATTTTGTTATCCACCTCTTGCGAACAATGAAGGAGAATTACCGGTAGCTTGGCAAGATTTACCTTCTCTTGCACTTCCTGATGGCGCTCACAACGTTGATAACGGTATGAAATACATCTTGCTTTATTTTTCCGCTTTAGAACTTTTTGGTAGAAATGTTAATTTATAAATCAGCTGAAGTTATATTTACTTTTCTATTTCAACTTTTGTGAATGAAAAAGTTTGAAACCCTTTTTTTTAAAGTTTTGTGGTTAATATGTATGTTTACGATTTTTAATTTGAAAACGCTCAGATAAACTTTATTTTGGCTCAAAAAGAATTGTATAAGCTTCATATTTATGATAGCAGTCAAGATGCAGCAAAAATCTGCTTGTTTAAGTTTTTTTTCATATATGTAGTTATTAATTCTTTCAATAATTTTGTTAATTAGTTTAACTGTTCAAGAATGGCTGAAAAGCTGAAAAATTTCTATGCTTAACCAAGATTGCAGATTTCATAATTAAATTATTTTACATTTTTTTATTTGAAATTTTAGACGTGATTTATTTTTTGCTACCGTCTTTGGATGATCCAAATCTATCTGTTTTCGGGGTTTCCTGTTTTCGTCAAATTTCTGCAGAGGTGACTAACATTGATTTTCAGCATTATTAATGATCAAATTGACAGTTTCTTTCTTATAGAATAGATTGTAAGATATATCATACTCTTTGTGAATGCTTTGTATAATCATATTCCTTGTGAAACGAAATAAAAGTTATTTGAAGTACTTGATACTTTTAATCATTGGGTCTTAAGGATCTTCTGTATAAATCTTCGGATGTTACGAGATGTACTGTACAAAAGAGTGTTTGTGTTTTATCTCGAGTACCACTTTTTGGTGCATTAACTGCTAAATTGCAACTCATTACGAAGGCATATTTCAATGAAAGAGATTTTGCCAAGGTACTCTTTTTCACTCATAAATAATTTGCTTAGATTGAAATTCCTTTAAAATTTTTGCTAAATTGTGTCATAGAGAAAAATTTTTTGTGAAGGAACTGTAAAATATCTATCTTGAAATCGTAGAAATATTGATATCTTCTTTTGTTTATGCAGGCAAATGTTTCATGTCTTTAAAAGATATTTTTTTTCAATTTGATTCATGTCATTTAATTGATTCTAAGGTTGAAGTGTTATCTCAGATGTACGAAAATCTTTGTGATATGTTTCCAAATGTTGAAACTGATGAACAAGCCGCAGTTATGGGTATGTATTCTCACTTAAGCCATTATCACATGGATACTTCGAAAATTTGTTCTAGTGTTCATGAGAGAGCTTAAGTTGGAGATTTTTTTGAAAAGCGTTCAATTGTGCTTCAGATTAATATTTATAATGCAGTTTCAAGCGTTTTGGTGATCGGAAAGAAATTGCAGATATTTCTGTACAGTCTCTTGTGACGACATTCAAGCATCGAGTTTTGGTTTTATTCAAATTGTTGCTGTTAGAGAAAAAAGTAATGTTTTTTTAGATATAAAGAGCTTAATGTTCACTTTTACAGTTTAATTTTTGTTGCTTAATAAGCTTCTGTATTCTATTAGTACTGCTTTAGTATAAAGGAAATGCATTATTTTTTTGTGAAAATATCCAAATGTACCCTATTTTTATTCACATTATGTACCCATTCCATCCTTTACAAAATTCTTTAACATTTCTCCATTTTCGCATTATATTATCCAACTCAGAACTTTATCTTTAGGTTGTGTTTTATATATCGCCGGTATTTCAACTGAGTCAGCTTATGGTTGCGCTCATATCACTTTTCCCACGTAATATATTTAACTTTGTAATTAAAAAATTTTGAAAGTGGTAATAATGTTTGTTATTCTATATTTTCATTTATTATGCGACATTGTTGCTGTTAGAGACAAAAGCAATATTTTTTTTATCTATCCAATATTTCTTGCATGACTAGTGTCAATTTCATACTCATGTTCTGTGGTCATTTTCTTCGCAATTTCAGTATGTCAAGAGAAAACTTTCAAATTTCAGTTTCTTCTTAACATTAGCGTTAGGTATGGATCAGTAAATATAATTTATTGATCCCAGGTTTGGTTGAAAAAGGCTTGTTCCATGCAGCATCATATAATCGAAGTTCCGTGAATTTATCAACTGAAGATAAACGTTTCCATCGACAAGAAATAGGTAAAGTTGGCTTGCATTTGTTGTTGTGGTTAGTTTTGAAAGTTATGTTATTATATAAGTAGTAGTGTTCATGAAATCGTTTTGACAAAATATTAGGTCTCTCATTGAATTTTCTATTCATTTTTTTTACAAGCTTGATTTCAGAGTCTTATTTATTGTTCTATGAAAGCTTATTTCAGCAGCATTCTTGAGTTGGGTTTCTGGAAATTGCTTCCATAATCAATTAGATTTCTTTTAAAACAATGTGTTTTTTGCTATAGAAAGAAAATATTTAAACATCTTTTTCAATACTTTCAATACTTGAAAAAGATGTTTAAATATTTTTTTTTAAAAAGATGTTTAAATAGTTGAAATCATCATTTTTTTTAAATAATTTGAAAAGTTTCCATACTTCTACATTTGCTTTTATTTTCAAATATCAGTAGAAATCAGAAAAGAGATTTTGATTCTGTTCTCATTTTCCGACCTAACAACAGAAAGGAAAAAAATAGAATAGTTCCCAGTTTCATGTGCTGTAATGATTTCAACTCTTTAGAGATGGAAATGGGCAATGACACACTGAAAGTTGAGTCTGCTGTAGAAGATGGAAAAAGTACGATTTATTTTAACTTGGAGTTAAATGAAAGAAACAAAGAAAAATTTGTGGAGACCACAGATGAGGGTTGGTATCTTTATGATTCGTTTGATTTGTGATTCGAACTTTCACCGTAATTTATCACAGTCATATTAATTTCCATGATCAGTCATGGGACGTATGACAGAAACGCAGTTATCAAGTGATGTTAATGCTGGCTGCTCTTTGGATGTGTTGCGGAATCAATTTTTGGATACTGATTCCTATGGATTTCCATTAAGCATTTTCACCAAAGTAATATTCCAATCTAGGAAAAGTTTTTACGATTGAACAAGAAAAATGGTGTGATTATAAATCTATTCATATCTCTGTTTCTCAAGGCATTGTTTTGTTTATTTAACTGTTAAGTGCTAAAAATTTTGCTGCAGGGTTCTTTATTCCATCCGTATCTTAGTATTTGTCATTTGGATATGATTAGATCGGATAATACGCGTGCTCACTGCATTGGTGCAACAAATGCTTTATTTGTTCAGCGACGAGATCTACTTGATGCTATCGTTACGGTATCTAAATTTTTTGTACAAGTCTTTATTAATTGCTAAATATTCTCTGAATATTACAAAAAATTATTATTTTTAGTCTTTTTGAATGCAATTAAATAATATTACATTATGAATGCGTAGATAATGTGTTTGCGCTCGAATTCAGTATTCTATTTTAACAGATTACGCCTGTATTAATGTATGTCGAAATAAATGATCAGGTTTATAGGCGAGTTGTTTTCAGTGATTAATATAAGTATAGTGTGAACAAAATCAAATTTATTGTAAAAAGTAAACTGTCATGCATGAGTATGATCTTTAGGTATTATATAGAACATTAAAGATTGTTTAAGGTAGATGAAAATGGCGATGGATACATTGACATAATGAATGCTAACTTGAAGCGAGCACTAACTTTAACAGCTGCTGATTTACGGTTCATTGATTTTGTTTCTAAAGAAGTGGAAATAAATGCACAGTCACCAAGTATGTTTTTGCCTATTTTTATATCACAGCAATGGTTAAATGTAAATTTTATCTGTAACACATTGATAAACAAGTGGTATGCTTTGTTGTGCAAGTCAGCAGATGATTTCTCTTTATGTTTTAACCTTTTAGCTGAAAATTACAAATAAAGTGCTTGTGTCAAGTGAAAATGAAAAAGAGGAATATACTATTATCTCTTCATTCTTAGTGTTTACGGATTCAATTTTTAATTATTGTTTATTTTTCGCGAAATTTGAAAATTCTTCTCCAGTCTCAAAAGATGGAGATTCCAGGTTGGGAAGGAAGTGATGACTGGATTCGTTTGCAAATGCGTGCGTATTTACTATCACTCATAGCAACGGTTCGTGCTGATTTAAAATGCTCATTAGGGGATTTTAATGAGTCCTTTATAGAAGAATGGAAAATGACTAATAATTATCGTATATGGTCGTCTGGAGAATATCCGGATCTAGCAAGCACAGTACCAAGGCAGCATTTTATTCTTATTTCGTAACTTTTGTTGTGCTTGTAATTTTAGTGTCTTCTATATTAATTAGTTTTATTTTGAAATTTTGAGTGAGAAAAAATCTATTTTCAAATAAATTTATAATTTTTTTATTGAATAAAATGTATTTATAGAATACGACTGTAAGTTAAATTTTGCAATCGTTAATGCAGCGATGGCAAAGTATAAGTTATTGAATGTACAATAAACTATTTTAGTCATCCATTTACTGGTACTATTGGAATATCAGATGTTTTATTACGAGTAGAGCATTCAGTTGGTGGTTCAGAAAGTGGCCGACGTGTAGCGTCTGCTGTTGCCAATACTGGTAAATATTTCTCTGATACAAGTTCGAAGATGAGAACAAGTTTCACTTCATGGTTTAAAGGAAATACGAGAAGAGCAGAATAACATCTAATCGCACTTAATTTACTTCTATTATTTTTTTGCTGTGTATAAAAATGTACAGTTGGTCTCTTTGGTAAACTTTGTAACATTTTCTTCATTGTCTGTCCATTTACAAATATTTTGTGCTTGGGATTTCATATTGACAAAATTAAATGAAATC